AGGGTCTCGGGCGCCTCGCGGCAGGCCCTGCACCTTGTGTCAGGAACCTCTATACCCATCACGCGACTGCGGTAGACTAAGGTGTTGAAGACACCATCCTGGCAAGCCATGATGAAGCCCTCAGTTTCCGACTTCAGCCCACTCGACCTGCGGCTTTTATATGAGCCTTTTGCGGAACGGGTTTCAACTCTGTGACAGAGTTGAGATCACCTTGTTCAGTATCGAAAACTGAAGCGAGTTCATCAATTGCTCGGGCTGCTGCCCTAAAGATAAATGCTCCAATTCCAATTATTAGTATTTCCAGTCAAAATGCGTACGTGTGAACTGTCTAAATATATGACATGTTTCCAGTGAATGTTGTAACAGGAGGTGTTCCACGTGCAATAACGAGCGCAATACCATTTTACACACCTCAGATAATTATGAGAATAATTTTGAGCTGACACTGGTAGTACTAGTGCCCCCCCCCAGCTGAGCATGACTCCAGTCAAGACGTAAATTAATAGGTATATTTTTTGCAGGGAACCGTTTTCTTCATATATGTATCTCATCGCAATAATCTACGACGAACACAAATAGCCATTGGATGTGAAAAAGTCACATTGAAATTCATAATTTGTGATATAGATGACTCATTGCCTTTTTAATTAAATTTTGACCAAAATATACCTTTATTATAAAATACTTTAAACTCGAAATGTTAATTACTTTTTACATCATTTAAATGCTTCAAAAAATATTTACTTTTTCAATGTTTTCAGACACGCTTTTTGTATACCTACTCATATAGTCAATATGTCATTGGACAGATAGATAATGATTTCAAATACTACGTGTACTGTTCAAGAAATAAAGTGAATGCTCAAATTCCGAGGGCTACGTAAACAGTTTCAGCTGTTTAGCATGTTTAGTTTGTTGGTGAGAGGCAAGTTCTAAGTATTTTGAGTGTTCATCATCAGTGTTCATGCATCAAATTTTGTGTAGAAAATGAAATTAGGTGCTCAAAACACTTTACGGTGATTGTACTCGTCCTTCATAGAAGGACGAGAAGATGTGAATGCCGACGCTCAACAACTGATGGAAATGTCGAGAAAGTGAAGAAAATTGTTATGGAGACTCGTCGAATATCTATCAAAGAAGTTGCCGAGGATGTAGGCAAATCGGTTGGCTCATGCCATGCAGTTTTTTTGTGAATTTTGGGCATGAAGCGTGTGGCAGCGAAGTGCGTTCCAAAATTTTGACCAAAAAAACCATCGCATGGGCATTGCTCAGAAATTGTTAAATGACGTCAACGGAGATCTAAATTTGCCTGAAAGGGTCATTACTGGTGGCAAATCATGGGTATATGGTTATGACATCGAAACCAAAGTCCAATCGTTCCAGTTGAAGCAGAGCCCAGGAGAGCCAAGGCCAAAAAAAGCACGTCAAGTTTGATCAAATGTCTAGGTTTTTCTTNCTTTCAGTTTGTGTCTGAAAGTTACTTCTTTGCATGATCTACACATCCATGTATAGAGTTACTTATTTTCAAATTGATTAATCCTTCCTTTCTTTGGAAGATTCTCTCATCCATTTTTTTGTATCAGATGGAGTAGTAGAAAGCCAAAAACTTTCTTTCCCAAAAAATTAATCACTCCTAAAAATATAACCCTTTCAAATCAAAGAATTGGATGTTCCTGACGATATTGAAGAGGCTGCAAAAAGCGCTTCAATTGAATTGTTACCAAAAAAAAATCGGCTTTATGTTTTGTTTATTGCTATTTGGTCGAAAAAAATCGTGTTGTACTTTCAACACTAGTGTTAAGAATATTTTTGAAACGCTACTTTGTAAACGACTCTTGACACGCTCGAAGAAGCAATTGTATGGCGAAACACGTGTTGCGTTTTTGTAAAGTGTTTTTTGAATACGTTAGTTATGAATTTTCATCAAGTATCGGCCAATTCCATCATATATAAAGTCGTAATTTTATGAATGAGTTGAATGGTTTATCTTATAATGTTAGGTGCCCGTTTTTGGTAGTGAAGAGCCGATAAGGCAAGTGTCTCACGGCGAAACATCGAATGTCTACCAGTGAGGATGACATTTTCCATATAACTGAAATTTTACTTCTTTCATTTATTATATTGTGTAGGAATCCTGTGGATGATATCTGATTCGATTCCATACGAATGTTTGGAATAAATAGAGGAAAGTGTTTTTCGTATAATTCAGCATTCATATAAAAGTATTTGTTTCGAAAGTAATTTTCTTTCGTGTAATTCAATAACAAAGAAGTAGTAAAAATATACCCTTTCAATTTAAAAAACAGATGTGTTTACGACAATTTCAGACGTTTTTAATATATATGTAGGATTGAGTAAATAATGATAATAAATACTGTAGATAATATTTGTACCAGAAATTTTGGCTTCAGTTTGAAAGTAAAAGTAATAACTGTGAGTGAAATTTTATATCAATACTCTTTTAATAATTACGTTATGTAGCGTTTTCAATTAATCAAATCTGTTTAGTTTAATCAACAAATTGGAAAAAAATGATTCATGTATATAATTCAACAATCGTAGGTGTAGTGGTGCATGGTTTCAAATCAAAATATATACTTTATTGTCCGAAGATATGCATCTTATTGACAAAGTCCAAGAAGTACAATGTTAATATAGAAAAAGTACACTGAAAAAGTATAAATGTATATATAAAAAAGTTTCAAAAATGTATAAATGTAAATATAAAAAAAAGTTCTAAAAATGTATAGATAAAATACCACCATGTATGAAGTGATAGTACAAAGAATAAATTGCTAGTATACTTCTAATATATCGTTAAAAGGATTCGCTAAAATACTCTTCCAAACTATAACAGGGTCTATCAACAAGTAGGTTCTTCACCGCCTTTTTGAAATGAATGTTGCTTAGATTTGCAGATCTCATTTCTAGTGGAAGATGATTGAACAACTTACCACCATTATAGTATATGGAATCCTTGATTAAATTGACTAATTTTTCACTCTTTCTTTTTGTTTAAATGATTTCTCTTACCCTCTATATTGTTCATGAAGAATGTGTCCTATTACATCAAGCTCTTGTCTGTTTTCGTTATGATCTTTCAGACTAACAATACCAGCAACAACTTTATATTTCGCATAATTAGAATAACAATGCCCAGCAGTGACAATCCAGTTTGGAGCAACAATTGATCCACCACAATTATGTTCACAAGTAAACCAATCACAGAGTTGAATCGACACTTCAAACGGAAATTGGCCAAGGACCGCATCTTTTCCTCCATAAATTTCAAAATGATCTGTAATACAACAGTTGAGGTATTGAGGTAAGAAACAAAATGAGTAACCAGACTTTTACAATAGTCTATGTTTATCCTTTATACACTGTCATCCCCAAAGTATGCACCATAAGGGAAACTTTTCTATTGAGGGTTTTTCGATGAAAAGTTATTCTTGATAAAAGTTTGTGCATCCCCTAAAACTGAACATGCACCAACGGAATACAGTAAAACACACGTAATATACGAGGAGCATTCAAATATTTGATTTTGTGACAGGAGTAAAGTACTCTTATTTTGAAAAATATCGGGAAATGTTATTCAGAAAAGTTGTTTTGCGTTAAAAATACATCTAGATTTGAAGTCATGGCCAGCTAAGTGAAGTTTTATTTTCTTACCATTTTTTAAAATGGGGACTACGAAGCNAGCATCCTGTATACGACGGTTCATTTCAAAAGCCTGCAATATTACAAATTACACAACTATGATGTTAACCACGGTAAATTTTTTTGAAGAGTAAACTAATTTTCAAAATTTTTGGTGCAAAGTTATTGTTACAGGAAGATGCTCTGTTATGCTGGACCATCTGTTTAATCTGTTTTTCCGTTAACCAGCTGTCGCACCCCTACGAACGACTAACGAGGTCTTACCTTTTAACGTGTGATTCCTAACACGGGTTGGACGATAGCAAGTGAAAATCGATCGTTCAACCTGGGGCTTGTACCATCGATCAACACGGCGGTCAATTCGCGTGAGTGAACAAAGCACCCACGTCGAATCGACCCGCTACCGATCAGTAAGTTTAAGATCACTGGGATACTTGTAAATTTTGAAAAATGGAAGAATAGACAATAATGGTGATAATATAAAAATCATATTAAAACATTTAACCCTACGAAGAGGCCTTCTTGGATTGCAGAAGCAAACAAATGAAAACATTCTATAGAATAGAAATGTTTCTTACCAGTTCCAGAACATATTGTTGTAAATAATACAGAAATGTATATCAATAGGTGTTGGAACATCATTGTAGCTTGAAACTTTTCTGAAATGTTAGTACAGAGAGCCTGTTAGTACTCAAATGATGACGAGAAATCGGTAGATAATGATAATTGAAATTATTGTTTGATAAGGTGATTAGCATTTTTGGATATTTTGAGACTCATACCTCATAGCTTGAATAATGTTTTGGTCTTTTCATATAAAAAATATTTACTTCCCAGCTTTAGTTTAACTAACAGAAACAATATTAGGGACGTGGTAAGTCAGGATAAGTTAGGAATACGATCTCGAAGATAATTCAGTTAGTTTTTTCTCGTTAGAGTTATTACTTTTTCCATTAAAAATGTTGTATGATGAACAAGTACTTGCACGAATCCCATGAAATGAAATGCAGCAAAAGTGGAATTCAGTTTTCTGCTCTTCAATTTAGTGATCCTACTATGACGACATATTCTTGTTTTCATCAAAAAGCACTCATTTTTCACGATTTTTTTCAAATGATCCATATATTATTTGAAAAAATGTCCATGTCCCAGACTATCAAAGTTGCAAGTGAGGTTCGCGTCTTCACTCAGGCGAATGGCTCTTTTCTGGATGGAATCCAGCAGCTTCAGAATATGCTTAGGGGCGGAGCTTCAGACATGAGAACAATATTTATGGAGCTCAGATCATACCAAAGAAGGTCTGATCTGAGCTTCATAAAACATCAAAAGTTGCTAAGGAGTGTACAGTTTTCTGGTTCGGAACAGTGTTCCAAGCTTTTGAGAAGCAGCCTTTGCACTTACAGCACATGATTGTGCCAAGACATATTGGTGTCCATTTTAACCCCCAACAAACTTATCGAAGCAGAAAGCGGAATTGTCTGTCATGACATAATTATATGCGGTTCGAAGACATTTATCTTTATGGAGAAACCCGATTCTCGGGTTTTTGTGGCATTGGAAACAATATGGATCCCTGGGAATCACCAGCGTTGATGGTAAAACTATTCGAGAGATATCCATCGACGGCCACTTGCAGGGAACTTTCTTTCAGAAACCTGAACAGCCATACACAGAAATGATACAAGCCATAGCATCGAAGTTTGGCCAGCAAACCCTCATGCCTCACACGGTCAATGGCCTTAGAGATATTAAACCCAACAGCTCTTGATTCTCCATGTTTCCCGATTGCGTTATTCCAAATATGGGTGACATTCGATAGACGAGTAATAAGTTGGATATATTATTTTTTTCCTTGAATTTCAGATACCAAAACACATGTGTTTTCGTATAAAAAGGAAACCTTTATCAGCTTTCAGAAATAACCTTGAGGTCAACAGAGCCAAGCCATTTAAAAGTGAAGTCGTTAAAATTAACTGCTTGATGCTAAGAAATTCGATATTTTGAAACATTCAACTTCATCATTCATTTTATTATCATGACGTTAAGGGTCGAAAATATATTATTCAGTCTGTGTACCCCATTTTGAATAACAGTCAAAAAGTACTTAAACGTATAATAAATATCGAAATTTATGTTATGAGTTCAAAGGTTTGACATGATAAAATTAAGGCATCCGAGATAGTCTATATACCTCTTATTCAAGACAGCGAAAATATCAAAATAACCCTTGCAGTGACATCTATACATATATCAGTAGCAGGCCCACGACATTAGAAATACCGGGAAACAGTCAGTAATTCTTGCGGACTTATTCGCTGGACATGTAGAGGATGTTAAGAGTTCCAGTCTTAGAAACAATTTCAGACTTTCTGATTGGTGGGAAATTTTACGAGATTATTTGAATTACCTCCCCTAACAGAGTTAAGTTTAGAAATTTTTGAGAAAGAATTAAGGCAGTCGTGCGCAGACCCGCGAGGAGTTCGCGGTCTTTTGACCGGGTCGCTTCGACCTCCGGACATGGTTCTGGATACCAGGTGTCGGGAAGGGTCTCAAATTCGTTAATTATTCGCGGTTTAATTGAATTGAGGCGAAAAAGGGCAATAGCGTACGAAGGCAGTCGTGCGCGGACCTCAGGATCCTTTGGGGGCTTTTGCCCGGGGCAGTTGGCCCCTTTGGGGAGGTTGCTGTGAAAGCTATTTGAAGGTACTGAGGTGTTATGTGTTTTAAGACACAGGGTCGCGAGTAGATTCCAGCAGTAAGAAATATTCGCGGTTATTTTGTCTAGCTGACTTGAGGTGAAAAGTCGGCAGCGTATATGAACTCAGAAGTAGGTCGGTTGGACTTCTTACGAAGTTCTGGGATGATTCTGGAGGCACTGAAATACGAGGTAATTCAGGGCACCGTTATGCGAGGTGTTTAGGGATTGATAAATATTCGCGGTTTAGTTGAATTGAGGTAAAGGGAGTCGTGCGAGAAGAATTGTCTAGTTCAGTAGAATTTCCTACAAAGTTTGGAAATTCTTGAGGAAGCTTTGAGTGAGTTGAAATATCGAGATAGTTCAAGTCATCGTTTCGAGAAGTGATATTGGTATTTGGGAGTTTGTCATGTTTTATTTGGCTAGCTGACGAACTCAGAAGTAGGTCGGTTGGACTTCTGACAGAGTTGTGAAATTATTGAGAGAATTCGCGAAGTAATTGGGTTTAGCTGATTCAGAGAACATTTTCGAGTTCCTGGTAAAAGTTTGGGACAGTTTTTGGGGAAGAGTGGCCTTTGTTGAAGACTTCAGGAGAGCCCATCTACGTTAATTTGGTGAGCGTATTTAAAAACAATTTTGATATATATTGTATATGTTATTGCATGCGTATGTGTTTTATATTTTCGAATTGGCACCAAGGGTATTGGTGAAAATTTATCATATAGCTACGAATCGGGTTCCCTTTTTCATTTTATCATGTTATTATTAGGTTATAGCATTTTTCTATGTTATACAGGGAGGAGCGTTTAAGTGGGTCTCTTAATAGTTTCTCAGAGTTATATGATGGAATCGGCCGATACTTGATGAAAATCCATAACTAACGTATTCCAAAAACACTTTNCGGCCTAACGATCCCATATACAGAGGGGGTGTATTTTTCTGGTGCGAGTATAACTGAGATAATTATTATATATATCATTAGTAGTACACAGGGATCGCCATTTCAGACCCGAAGGTCATTTTTTGCAGAAGGTCGCCAGTTGATCTTTGTTTCCGAAAGCCATATTGATGATCGCTCAAGATGTTAAAGTCTTCCAGATATTCAAGGATATGGTGGTTTACCGCTTTCTCTATGATTTTTATATCACTGATAGAAATAAATAAATATTTTTGGAGAAAAATGAAAATTCACATTATTTTTTAAACAGACCTCGTAGATACTGACTTCAGATTGAAAAATTGTAGGTAAAGCAATAAACATCAGCATGTTCGAGACAATAAAGCAGGGGATCTGTACATTAATCTCATTGTTCTGTAGCATACCATGTAAGCATGAATGAAAACAAATAATAAGAACAAAATATTTCAACTTCTGCCAGCAATTTAATAATATTTTGAACATTATATTTATTTCTCGTGCCGATCCATGCAATCACCGAGTAAATATAAGTTTTTCAGTTCGGCTCCGAACGACAAGGTGTTACGTTGGACGCCAACGATTTCTAAAATAGAAGCCAGTTCATCGTCATTTTTACCAGAGTAGAAACATATTAATAGTGGGAATCATACAGCTTTGTTTCAGACTGGTTTGCAATTTTGTGTTGTCTTTGAGATAATATGGCCTACAGTTGGGAAAACAGAGTGAGCTTCGTAGTTAAATATTTATACGGTAAGTTCATCTATATGGCTATCCTGGGGACACTTGTTGAAGATTTCTATGCACTGAATTTGTCTTTCTAATAAATATTGAAAGAATATATTATATTAGAGGGCAAATTGAATGGCTACACATATTGTACCTGCACCTCAAATGTGTTAGTGGCGTACATTTAATTTTTTACCGGAAAAATATAAATTGTTAGTTCAAAACAACTTGGTTGGGGAAACACGTATCGAGAAGTGTGTTGCATTTCTGCAATACTGTTCTCGATACGGATTTTGCCGTGGTCTTCTTTGGTTACATTCTCCGAACGCTTCAACTGCAATTGCGGCAGTTATCTTCAATGGCGTGGTCGAAGTATTCTTCTTGACGTATCAACAGAAACTGAAGCTCTCATTTCAACCATGTCATTTATAGTACCTACTGATCTTGTGTCTTTACTAACTAGTCATGCCTGAAGAATCTATTGTATAGCGAAACATGTTTTGCGTTTTTGTAAAACTATGCAGTGAAAATCTGACGATAAAGTGGTTATCCAATATCAATAGTGACAGGGAGACTCAAATTGATAATTGAATTTGAGTTTTTCGGGAATGCAATTTTATAAACTGTGAAAGATTGTTAGCATAAGGTCTAGGACGTTTTCAGGAGGATATTTCAAACGGATATTTCTGCAACTCATCTCATGATGAAAATATCGCTTGTTAACTAAATTGTGAAGCACACTGTATAAAAAATAATGTAATAGTATTAACAGTGTCATGGAGACTCAAACAAAGTGGAAATTTTGTGAAAGTTCATTTGAAAAAACAAAACGAATATTTTATCTCAAAAGAACGTCTTACAATACCGCCATTGTTTTATTTTTCTCGCTTCACAAATAACGAAGATATCTTATTAAATAAATTGTAACTATTCATAATATTATATAAAGGGTGTCCCAGAAAGCAATCTAGAGTAACCCTTTTAGATTGATCTTGGAGGCCACTTATCAGAACCATGTGTAACAATACATTATTCAAATATCAACTATGGAGTATCATTGTAACCATCTGCCCGTGAACGAGGTAACCAACCGCATATCCGAATCGCCCAATTCCTCGTATAAGGAAAAAACACATGGTAAATGACATATTTGAAAACTGGCTGTGAATCAAATTATCTAAAAGAACAATTTGTTCAGGTCAATCTCGACTCACCTACACTGTAGGTTAATGGACTGACACCTATCAGAAAACAACTACTCGTGATGCATAATAAAAAATCAAATTCGTTTCAGAGTATCATTCCTCGAACAAGGTTGAAGCGAACAACAAATAACATTTTTGTTGGTTCCACTCTCGTATCTCGCTTGCGTTTACAATTTGTCTTCAATCGAGGACCACCTGCCCTGTACTGACGATGCCCAACAGGCTGAAACAGCTATCTGCCGGAGTCACACAAATTATCCTCGCCTTATGATAGTGTACCTTTTTTACAGATTTGGACAACAATGGCTACTTGGATGAAAGGGATTTTGCTTGTTTAGCACTAAGAGCAACCATTATCGAAGGAAAGGGAGAATTTAGTTACAGCCGTTTACATGAAAATCAGCACATAATGATGAGTCTTTGGGAGGAAATAGCGGAACTGGCTGATTTCGATAAGGTCGTTAATTATTGACGCACTTCCATACTACATGAAAATACACAAATATTATTATAAATTGAAACTCACTTTCTGATGTGAAAGTTCATTCCCTATAAGGAAAGAATTCTCTTAGATTTCCAGTCGAATTTTGTTTTCATGAAAATCGATAATAGGCTGACAAATAATGAGGAGAAAAATTATTTCGTATTATTTAGATATATGAAATTTCGATACATTCATCACTCCCAACTACCTACACAGTAAGTTCTGGTAAATGCCTGCAGGAAAACAACTACTTCCCCGGCTAATACCACGCTGGATATTGATATCTCACAGAGGTTAATATTGCAAATGTTTCTCTTCATCCAGCAGCAAGCACCCTGCTGTTTGGGTCGGATCTTTTCTGCATCGATGAGAGGTAATACCTCGAAACCGGTCTCTAGGTGATCTACTCGATTGATCCAGCATGGTCTTGCTGCTGGATGTATGAGAAACATCTGCGAGTCTAACCTCTGTGAGGTAGATTGCATAATTGCCTGTCGGATATAATTTAATATCCAGCGGGGTATTAGCCAAGGAAGTAGTTGTTTTCCGGCAGGCATTTACCATGTCCTACTGTTAAAGTGAATAAGAGAAAAAGAATATATAATGTTCAGCTAGCAAGTCCAAAACAATTATGTACACACAACAAAACAATTTGAACTCAGTCAATTCATAAATAAATAATCATATTCTACAGGGTGTTCCTTAAACACATGCTAATATTTAAGGAGGTAATTCTTAGACCCATTTTAGGGTGGCAAAGTTTTCAAAAATAATCAGTTTTTTAATAATAACTGAGATAATTTTGTAGACATCTTGGCATATTTGGTACATATGTTCCATGCCTCAAGGCGCATTTTCTGATGTACAATTTTCTTAATTTTCTCTGCCAGTGGCGTACGTACGAGTTTTGAAATGTATATTTTTGGCGAAAAAAATACTACGCCACTGCTTTATCTTGAATTAAAAATTATTTTTAAAATCTCCATACATTTTTGAGC